CGATTACATGTCAGGGGTCCTTCCAAAAGTTTACACCTGTCCAAGCTATTAGATTGTACAGACATAAGAAAAAGCATTATAAAGGAACATCTTAAGAGCGAATTTTGTGTTTGGAAAAAGTAATGTATGAAAATACTGCTTGTCCTTGCCAGCTCGCCCATAAAGATCCCTGTTATCACCTCGCCTATAAACACTCCATACCCATTAACTCATCTATAGAGACAACATGCCCTTCAGATCGTCTATATAGACTCCCTGTGCTTCAGTTCGCCCACAAAGTAGCATAACCAGACTATCACGACTTTTAGGATGATTTTTGCAGTTTGATATTGATACGCCTTAGGTTGTATTCTCTTCCCAGTTTAACTTTCTTTACATTATAGCTCTACAACGATTTTATTCCTTAGCCCATTTTATATTTAATTTATATTTCCTAATTTTTACCGTATATATTCCGCCCCACCCTGTCCATGATTAATTTCTTTTGCTAGTTGTTGTGGTTATTTTGTGTTTTTGTTCGTTTTTATTTTTTATTTGCCCACAAGGAAATGAAAGCAAATGAATTAACATAAAATTGTAGCGACAACTTGCCACACACATCGTTTTGTTCGGATTTCGTTATCCTTGTGAATTATGGAGTTAGGGCAAATGAAAGCAGCAACGACCGTGTATATAACCAGAAAAAAATATTTATGTTTGTGCTGGTGTGCAAATCTGGAACATTTGAAATATTAAATTGCAGTTTTCAAGAGTTATAAGGTATTTAGAATACCCACACCAACAGGAAGTATAAGACCCTATATTGATATTTTTATTGCGATTAGAAAATCAGTTGTTTTAAGTGAAAGAACATATAAAACCTTCGTTGAGTCCGACTGGGCCAACATTTTTAAACCCTCCACCCTGTGATGGACATTCAAAATACCTAAAATCGTTCGGGACTTGGATATAAGGAGCTATGTCGTGGTAAATTGCTGCGAGGAGAAAACAAAAGACCAACATACAGACACCCAGGTTGGAAATTTGGTCTAGGACCTTGAATATGCCGAAATGACCTTCGTATTGCATATTTTTTGTGAAAAAGTTCCCGGAATGGGAAAATGCAACTACTTCGTAATGATAAAAAAGGCACTTTAGCAGAAAATACTCCCACACCAAATGAGAAGCCAAACCATTAAATTAAAGCCAAATCGTTTAAAAATCCTCAAAGTGACAATAATAGGGGGGTGACTATTTTGTGGGAAGCGGATCATGGATATAAAGTGGTAATTTTTAATACAAATAATTTGCCCCTCAATTACAACCAAAAGTATATAACTACAGCCAATTGGATTGAGAACATGTCAAAAAAATGTCTCAAAAAACCGAATATTGTGGAACACCCATACATAGAAGAGGTATACCAAAATGCGGACCGAAATTATAATTCAAAATAAGTATATACAATCCGGTTTAAATGCGTGTTCAATCCAGTTTAAAAACGGTCTAGTATTGTTAATTTTAATAGGTAGATTTTCTTCAAATTATAACCTAATATTTGGTCTTTTCCAAACCATGGACCAATATATCGCATTTCCATGTTAAACATCCCAGATGTACTAGAAAAATACTTGTAGAATTTTAAATCTCTGTTTTTAATATTGCGAGCTCTATCATGGATTCAATGGACAAACCGATACCTGATCGAGAAAAAAAAATTTTTTGGGTCGCTTGTGGATATTTTGCATGGTTGCAAAGGGAATAAAACATTATTTTTTTTCCAGTTGTATTTGTGGATCTAGTAAGAATTTTGGAGTATATGCGCATTAGCCCGCTAATAAACCGCGTTCGACAGTCTGGGTTTTCAAAGACGAAATAAGAGCATTGCAGCCAATGATAGTCTGTTGCCTCGGCAATTAGGATATTGTGTGTGGTTCAGCCTGAAGTCGACGGAGAAATTCGAGAAACGAAAAAGAGAAGTCGTATCATTTTATACTATGAAATGCGTTCGGTTCAAACCAGTGCCATTTTGAACTATCACAAAGTGGAATGGATGGGTCGATTTTGCTTCTGGTACCAAAAATCGTTTACCATGAATTTTTCTTCATGTTCCGGAATAAAATAGTGTCGTTGGGTGCTAAAGGTTTTGTAAAAATATTAATGTTTTTAAAATTATTAATGTTTATTCCATTAGAAGATGGGGTGTCGTGACGTCTACAACACCTCCAAAAATTCCCTGGAAACACAATAAAGTAGTAAGGGCACATTTTGCAACCGACTTGGCTGTAATTATGTATTTTAAGGTAGTAAATAATCCTTCTAAAAATTATCAATATGGTCAACTTTTTAGGGTATGCCCAATTGGTAGCTCTTAAATTTCGGAAATTTTGGGAGTTAGAAAATCTATGAATTAAATTGGATGTAAATATATTTATATTTATGGTTCACATTGTGTGTCAATTCTTCTACCAAAAATGATTAATATCGGATTTAATTTTGGTATATGCCCTATATAACCGCACCTTCCATTATTTGGTATTTTGGGCATTTTGGATAGGTCACAACCGAATTGACTGTAATTTTGTATTTTAGATTTTTAAGGGGTCCTCCAAATAATTTTAGTATAGCCCAAATAGGTAATCCTGATTGATCTTTGGTAATCGGTAAATCAGAATATAACGATATTTTCACTTGTTAAAATATTTTTTTCTTTTATAAAATTGTCTATTACAGCAAATATCAAATCTAAATTTCATATCGTTGTACTTTCTTCATACAGATTCCGTTTTACCAAAATTACATCAATGTTTTTCCCAATAAATCAAATGACAAGAAAAAAAACTAAATTCCCATCAAATATCTGTAATTTCTTGTGAAAATTCTTCCTTCTCGCATTTATATAAATATCTGTAATTTCTTGTGAAAATTCTTCCTTCCCGCATTTATATGCATGTGTTTTTTTTACTATTCTTCCCAAAAATTGCAATAATAACCCCCATGGGAATCTATCTATTGTACACATATATGGGCAATATTGCCAATTTTTTAATATTCCATTTTCAAAAAATCAGCTTTTTTGTTTTTGTGGCACATCAATGATTTTTGGCACACATATAGAGAAAAATGTTCTGACTCCGAAACCGTTCGCGATCACATTTTTGGTTGATGCGCGCAAAAGTTATCGAGGTTTTAATTTTGGGCATAAGAAAAAAATCTTAAAATTACGCCGTTTATTATATTGACCAAAAACGTTGATATATATCTTCCTCCGTAAGATATGAATATGAATATATTATAATAATCACGATAAAGTAGCACATATTCGCGAAATATGAGAAAAATAAAAAAATATAGCAGATTACATCAATATTTTCAATTTATTAATGACATACACACACCTAAAAATTAATTTAAAAATATCTACATAATCTAAACACCATGATGAATCAAATGATATCAAAATCATGCAAGTCCGTGTAGCGGTTTCTAAATCACAGCGACAACAAAACAAGATATTGAGGAAAATTATTTGTTTTTGGTTCGAAAAAATAATGTCATCATATTTATTTTTTTAAATGTATACAAGAAATTTCAGAAAAAAATGTTGGAGTTATTCTGCTATTTTACCCGAATTTCGCCGAAAAATTGACATATATAATAATAATCACTTTTTGTGTATAAGTATACGCCTTGCGGATTATATCAAGACCCTTCCGATAAATCTTAGAATTCTATAAATAGGAATAAATCTTAAAATAAAATAATATTATGAAATATACATTTTAAATTGCGTGTAAATCGCGTAATTCTCAAAATCATTTGATGCGCATGCGGTTTCCAGGAAGTACTGAAGTTTATCTTCCAATCCATGTATATTTTGCGAAATTTCATTTGACGGCTAAGATGTGCCACACGTTGCATTGAAGTACCCAAAAAATCGTAAAACGCGAATAATTTCCGAAAACTCCATATGCCATTAACGCGCATCCGATTTCGGTGTGCACCCTAAAAAATACATCGATCTATACCGATTTCAATGTGGTCCATTAAGAACCATGGATGTGTCAGCAAAATCTATTTTTGAGATAAATTGCGTACATTTCTCTTTCGGCTGAAGATTTTAAAGTTCTCTTTTCGAAAAAGATCAAAATCCGCATGAGGTCATTTATTGAAGCGGAAATGATACACAGAAAACGCAATTAAATCCGCGATATTTTCAAAAACATTTTTTGCCAAATTTAGTGTTTTTGGAAGGCCAGTTTCCGCCGTTCTAGTAGATGGATTTTCACGAAGAAGATTTTATATCATCCGAAACGTAAAAAACTTTATTGATCGCGGGTACCCATGTCATTCAGTTGACAGATCTAAAAATTTGGCCCGAAAAATAGGTTTTTTAGAAATTTGATCGCACAAAATTCGCACCTTCGGATGAGTATTACTCTGAAGCTGTGCATACTACATACACAAAATACATATCAAATTACGCAGATTCGCGACTACAATAATCTTATAATCGATTTTTATAAATTCCTGTTTGCGTATTAAAGCTAGAAGTAAAATTAAAAAAACACTCAAAATCGAGCTTCAAAATGTCAGCATCATTTAAAGGTAGATGCAGTTAAAATTTTGAAAAATGAAACATAAGGGGCGTAGTCCCCATTTTGTTGGCTTCTAGTTTTCTTTTGACACGAAGACCGTGCAATGAGTGGCTTAATCACAAATCGATAGAGAACATAAAAAAACTGGTTCGCCTCAACCTGTTTTTACACATTTTTTTACATTAAAGTAGACACAGCTTCCACCAAAATAAAGTTTGGAGGTCAATATCATGAACAGTTTGCAACGACAGATCAATTAACTCAAAACTATTCACTTTTTTTCATATACTTAAGTAGTTCCCGAGTTATAAAGGGGTGAACCTCCGCTTCAGCTATGTTAAAAAATTGGCAATATTGCCCATATATAGTAAATAAAATTATAGAGAAAATAAAAAGGACATCCATTGCCGGGGTACTACTTACTTCGCTTGAATGCAATCGTGCTGGTAATTCAGTTTGTTCGCCGGATGAGTTAAATGTCCAATGAAATGAATCCGCAGGCGGTGATGCATCCACTTCACATTTTAACGCCAACGTTTCATGCTTCAGGGCACCCAACAGTTCATCGTGATCTGTGGCACAAATGGGTGCATCTGTAACAAAAAAATGATGAGAAAAGAGGACGATGAAGGAAATCATGAGATACAAATGTTGCATTATCAGTTGAATAAAAATCAGTAGAGAGAGAAAAATGAAATAAAAAATTCTGCCAAAATGGAAACACAGATATAGCCACACTACAAAACCAACTTACATTAAGTTGGACTTAAAGCCAAAAAAATTTCCAAAAAAAAAAAAAAATGTGTAAGGAAAGACCCACAAAAAAGAACTCCACAATAATAACAAAATGCCATCTATTATATATATAAGTTATGTTAGCGTACACATAAATAATATGTGTGTACCAGTGTGTGTGTGTGCGTGGGAATTTTCCTTTTTTTACAATTGTAGATTTCTTGTCTCGTACATAACAATATATTTTAGTTGCATTGTTTGTCTTCATTTTTTTCAATGTCGCCTTAATTTTTCTTCTTCCATTGTTTTGGCATTTTGTTTTTCTCCCCAAATTTTTTTTATCATTTATAATTCCGACTTAACCGCCACTGTTGGAGTTCTCTTACAACTCTTGATTTTGCCACTTTTTCCTTTCCATCTACTTTGCTTTTTTTGCAGTTTTAGTTTCCAAGTTGTATTCAAAGTTTTTAATTTTCAAGTGTAATTAGCCAGAAAGATGATGCAGATTAAAGGGAGGTATTTTTTCTTCTCTCGTTTAGTTTTTGTTTTTTATGCAAATACTCAAAAGGCAATTAAAGTATAAAAATCTGGTAATTATTTTAGTGTGTGTTTTTTTGCTTATTTGTTTGCAACATTTTGTCTAGAGGTTGTAGGACAGACAAATAATATATGACTTCAAAATATGTTGCAAAATTGGGATTAATTTACATGGTTGTATCAGGATATATTCAAACCAATATGGAAGGAGATATTAAGGATCAGTTTTTATGGAAGGAAAAGTCAGATGCGAATCATTAGGATTACTAGTTTTGAATATATCAATCAGCAGAGCTGAACATGTTATACCCTCCACTCTGCTGTATTTATTGTTTATACCTAATATCGGTCATGATCCTTACATGAAGGATACGTCAAAATATGAACCAAGATTTAAAATTATTATCTGCTTAAAACTGTTTAACCTCTAAGATAGCCGAATGCGGAACTTCAGGCACATAAATAGGAAAATGCATCTATGGCCTCCAACCTTTACATTGGACCATGCCAAAATATTGATTGATGTAAAATAAATTTTTCTGAGAATCCGAAATGCTTACTTATAGCCATATCGCTTGTAAATGAGACCAAAACCACTAAAATCCTAAAATTCAGCGGGACTTTTTCATGAAAATTATATCAAATTTCGGATATAAATGATAATAAAATTTTTTTGCCCACATAGAATTTGAAATACCACATTGCAAGCACTTCGGTGGATAACTGAGTGCAGAACCAAGCAATATTTCGGATTGGAAAACTAAACGTAAAAATATATTTTTTGGGAAATTTATTTTTCACTTCCTAAGAACCCGAAAAGTCCTTTGACTGATTCTTCCATTAAAAATAGTTTCTTACTATCGAAAATGGGACAGTATTGTGATAAAGGGGCTGCACCAAAACAATATATATATATATATATATATATTCTATTTTCAATATCAACCAGCGATTTAAACTGACTGTCGCATATGGCTTTCTAACGCCTCAACAGCACTTCTAGGGATAGAAAGAATTCGCTATACGACTGTTGACCCATTAATTCCACATTTCGATCGGTCAAAAAAAAAAAAACTCTGGAGTGAGAGCTGTGTGTGAGAGCTCACATTCAAAAGATGCCACACGTTCTGTATTGTCATGTTCGATTTTCGAATATCTCACCTCAGGACCTCAGGCACAAAATTTTTACTTTACTTGACTCTGGACCATCATACGTTGCTCAGTGGAAACTGTCGCCGTATATCCATGATTAGCCATATGGTTTGAGAGCACGTCTTCTTTGGTTCGAATGTCGAATTTCACCGATGACTTGTGGCAAACAAATTATATTGTACCATTCATAATTGACACCTTCGTACATTGCTTAAGCGGGACAGGCGTATTACCGATCACTATTACCGTAGAAAGAGATGGTTATTTTCTTCGAAAAGCAACGAATAATTTCCGATGGATTTGGCCTTTGATGCTTTGATGTTTTGTATTTGTCTAATAGATCCATGATGCTTCAATTGGCTTGAACCGAAATGAGAAAGTTTCAATTGTCATGATCGCCTTCTCCCAAGATTTCATGTACGGTGTACCACTCATACGTTTCTTAAGCGCAGTAGCCACCGCAAGACCAGATTTGCCGAAAATACGGTGGGCATTTGCTTCGAAGAGATTTTTCCGCGAACAACTTTTATTGCATTGGGTTCTTTCATACCATATACCGAAAATTCTACACCTGTGCCAACTTATAAATATCTTTCGAACTTTTACAACAATTTTGTCCACCCTTTTTGAGTGATTGTAAAATGGAATAGGATCCAACGAGAACAAACAATTTTTAAGGCCAGATTGTATGCAGTATTTTATGTATGCTGTTGGAAGAAAGGTACAAGAATATCTTTAATTCAGGGTAGGACACATGAGATTTGGCTTCAGTGTTCATAGCCACAGACGTCGGTTTGGGACTTCCTTCTTGATCTTCGTCTTTGAGCAGAGGACTTTTTTTTTTGATAAATTGATTTTTCAAGTCACTGGGAAAAACACAACACATGGTTGTACGTCAAACCGTACTGAGGACGTTAGTGCTAAGGCAAACGTTAAACTTGTCGACTACATAATATATGTCGACTACATAATATATTGACTACATTGTATTTTCTAAGACTATTATAGGTCTTTATGGGACTTTAATCGGAATACTATCCCCCTCATTAGGTTACCTTTCCAGGTAAAGTCTCCAAACCTGGATAAACCTTCTTTAGTTCTCCTTTTCCAATATTTTTTGTTTTCATTGTGTTATCAATTATTTAACGTATTTAAAGTGACCTGTTTATATTCACCGATAATATTCAATAATAGTACAATTAACACTAACCCAATTTATTATTAAATCACAAATTGCATTAATTTAAATTGATACACCATAATAATAACAATAATTACATAATCCTTTATTTCTCAACAATTAACTAAATCTGCATTAAAATTTTAGATTTTTATTTCAAAAAGAAAAATTATATAAAAATTTAATCCAATTTCGAAATTCACAGCAATACATATAAAGAAGAAACCCCCCCAAGAGAAAATTAAATGAGGAGGAGGAGGAGAAGAAGGAGAGGTATAAATCTCAATACAACACCAGCATAAATTTATGCAACCTCTTTTTGTGCCATTTTGTAGACTTTTCATTAAAAATAAATGAAATGCACAAGCAACAGCAGCAGCAGAGTCAGAGTCAGACCAAACCAAGATTCATTCAAAACCAACAACAACACCAAAATGATATAGAAGAAAGTAGGAACGAAAACAAATCTTAGAAACATAATAATCCGGCTACCTATTACTAACAGTTATGCAGAAGTTTTGCCTCAGAAATCGAAATACAAACAGAAAAAAAAACGAAGAAAAGGAAACAGGAAAATAAAATGCCGTTACTTGCTACTTCATAGTCAAGTAGTGAAAATAAAATATTAATAGCCAAACATTGCTAAAGAAGAGCAACCAACACAAGCCAACGAATAAAATAGCTATGACACAACAAAAACAACAGCAAGAAACGGGTAAAAAAGACAATAACAACGAGATGGACGAGAAATCCGAATAAATAATCTAATGAATATTTTTCAAACGACTTAAGTTGCCAGAGACAAGAGACACAAAACAAAAAGGAGATGTTAAGAAGAAGAAAATGAAAACAACACTGAAAAGAGCCACTTGAAGAATGTCTGGATATTCCACTTTGGATTCCCCACTTTTTTGCCGCTGCTACAGAAACGGGCTATTTTTTCTATTTTCTTGTTGTCGTTGTTGTTGCTGTATTTTTTATTATATTTTCTTGGCGTTCCATAGTTGTAGACTGCAGCAGCAATACAATATACACTAGAACAACAGCGGATTAACAAATGTGCCACACCAAAAATAAAATTTGCAAGGAAAACACAACATCAGCAGCAACAAACTACTACAAGTATTTCTTTATTTATATTTAAAACGAACGAAAGTAAAGCACAAGAATACTATCCCAGCAGCCATACAATAAGGATGCACATTCTGCAAAAAAAAACCAGTAAGGAAAGTAGTAAAGTCGGACGGGGCCGACTCTAGGATACCCTTCACCACTATGGGTACATTAAACAGGACTATTAACATGAAATTGGATGAAATAAAATATGTGATATTTATCTAAATGTGAATCTACCTAGATTTGTCCATAAAGTGTGTAAATCGACTTCAAACAAATATAAATAGGTCATCCGGTTGACTATGTCTGTACTTCTAGAAAACGCAACTACGTAATTCTATGCTCAATTTTGTACGTTGTGCAAAATTTGATGTCAATCTGACTAACATGAGGAGTATGATGCCCAATTTGCTTGATATCGGGCGAAAAAATATATGTAAGCTATATCCACATATTAAGCGATTTCAAACAAACTTGTCACAGGTTAGGTTATACTAACTTTAGAACGTTTTGTTCCTATTGGTTCCTTGGTGCGTCAATTACATAAAATCAATCTATAATAAAATGGAGCTATATCTAAATCTGGACCGATTTTCACGAAACAAGGCAGACATCACTCTAGGCTCAATTCAGTACGTTATGCCAAATTTCGTGCAAATCGAAAGATATATAGCGACTTTGGTGAACCATTTACATGAAATCGGACGAAACTATATGTGGGAGCTATATAGAAATATGGACCGATTTTATCGAAACTTGGCAGACATCACTCTAGGCTCAATTCAGTACGTTGTGCAAAATTTCGGGCAAATCGAAAGATATATATGGATGTTGGTGCACAATTTACATGAAATCGGACGAAACTATATATGG